ATCGACTAATCGTGGCAGCCCTATTTGGGTTGTTACCAACATCTGGTGAAAATTTCATGTCATTAGCACCTCTAGTAATATATTTACTGAGAAAAATGGTGACGTGTTCAATACTTATTTTACCCGCTGTATCTGCTCAGTGGGATCTCAGGAAGCAGACGCTTAATGTAACACGAGCGTCAGACAGAGGTTGCTTTGAAAAACATCTAGAATCACCTATAGAAACGGCAAATAAAAATACATTAGCATTAAAAAGCAAGTCTTACCTTGGCCATAATGAGAACCTAACAAACACGTCCAGAGGGAGAAGATTTGGGTCGATTTCTATCTAGCTATGTCCAACTTCTGTAAATAACGCTGTCTGTGAGCCCCAACTYGGTGTGCGACTTCCACAGATAAATTATCTAAACTTGAACAAGAACAAAACATGGCAAAAACAAAAAAAAAACAGCTTCAAAAAACAATCGCTGCCATTCAATTCAATACACCGCTAKGTGCCTTCTGCCGTCCGACATGCCGATATCACGTGGCTTTGTCACGTGGGTGCAAAGGGTCAGTAGGAGAACCACAAAAGCAAGGGAGAAAAAAAATGCAAAAAGACCACGACGCAGACGACGCAGACGAGCATGACCAGGATAATAATACTTTGTATTTAAAATGTGCCTTTCTGGACACCCATGGATCTACTGGATAATAAATCTAAATCAAAGTATTTAGTTTTATTGAAAGTAACGATCCTTACGAGCTGCAGAAGTCTGCAGAGCCGACACAGATGCTGTGTTCATATGATTCTGTGGGACTTTCTCTGATACTATTGGTAACTACATACTCCAAATGGGTACATTCTGCATGATAAGGAGCTTTTTGTGATTATAATCTGATYCTGTCAGTGTATCCTACGTTGGTGTTTACAAGGGTAGATTGCGTAATATTCAAAACTCTTTTCTGTTCATAGTGCGCAACCTTTTTCATTTTTTTTTAAGTTAATTAAAATACTATGCTGTCACTAACCATGGTAGGAGTGATCTGAACACACTCTGGAATCCGGAGGAGGGTGAAATCTTTGTGTTTGATTATCGCCAGCCACAAAATCATGTCACTTTGCCTACAGTTCTACTTCTCTGGTGTTTTTACGCCGTCTATTTTTTTAAGAGCATCTCTCTGCCACACGAGCAGCACAGTTTTGTAACTAACTTGAACGCAAACTTGCTCCACGACTGTTAAAACAACTTATAATAGAAACTTATCATATAAACAATCTAGACTGTATTCATTTCTGTGCTGTAGACTATCCCCTCTTCCACATTCGCAGCCACTAATATGGCGATTTGATCATGTGATCTGCAGGTCGCTACGTCATTTAAAACCATCTATTGGTTCTGG